ACTACATTGCCCTATATCAAACAGTGATGATTTATGCCCAGTAAAGTCTTCACTTCCATTACAGGTCAAATCCATTTTTTGGAACAAAACACATTTTGCAGTTACAGTGTTGCGGCCATCTTTCTACACTTCCCCCTGCTATCACAACTCATGTATTTGTAAAGATAATGTCAAACATATTTTGTTGATAACGGATCTTGACACTTTTTGAAATGATTTCTTTATTGTAATTGCATTGTTAAGGACAAGTATAATTCAAACTTGCTGTAACATTTGTTTTTTTTTTATTTACTCATTTTCTTCTCTCTCTCTCTATCACCTTTTTCTTTTTTAAGTTCAATTGTAGAGGTATGTCTAATATTCAAATAGAAATTTGACGAGAGAAAGAATTTCAAGATTCAACAATTTGATAGTTATTGATGTCTTTTTGTTGGGAAATAAATCAGTGAATTATTTCAAAACTTCTAACTCATTTGTGATGATATGCTGTTGTAAATAGGACTATTTGTAAATTAATGATGTTGAACCAAGATCAGGCTGTAAGAGAGTATCAGTTTTTGTGAGAAAAATGATTTCTCTGGGTCAGTTGGTGAAAGCAGATTATCCCACATCCATATAAAGGGGATAGATACATGTGGAATCATTATTCAAAACCCAAATATACCTTGAGCATTAGCAGTCCTTATCCCAAATACATTTATATGGGAGTGGTCATTATCACATTTGAAGGTGTATTTGAAAGGGAAGTTGTTATTGTCCTAAAGCCTGTCCTACAGAAGTTTTAATTATTCCGGATAAGTCTACAAGGATGTGTAGTCACTGATCCTAAATGGATCTGCAAGGGAGTAGTCATTATCCCAGATCAATCTTCATGGGAGCAGTCATTATCCCAGATCAATCTGCAAGGAATTAGTCATTATCCCAGATCAATATGCAAGGGAGCAGTCATTATCCCAGATCAATCTGCAAGGAATTAGTCATTATCCCAGATCAATCTGCAAGGGAGCAGTCATTATCCCAGATCAATCTGCAAGGAATTAGTCATTATCCCAGATCAATCTGCAAGGGAGCAGTCATTATCCCAGATCAATCTGCAAGGAATTAGTCATTATCCCAGATCAATCTGCAAGGAGTTGTCATTGTCCAAGATCAATCTGTAAGGGAGCAGTCATTATCTTAGATCAACCTGTAAGGGAGTAGTCATTATCCAGGATCAATCTGTAAGGGAGTAGTCATAATCCCAGATCAACCTGTAAGGTTAAGTAGTCACTATCCATGATATGTTTGTGGGGATTATATCTCTACGCTGAGATGTTGAAGACATACCCGAGAGGAACGAGTTCTCTGCCTCTGCATGAAGCTGGCGGGGTTCGGAGTAGAGCCATTCCTCCATGTTTTGTTTGAGAACTACGTTGTCTTCTCCAAGTATCAGATAAGGCATCCTGTCCTCTGTCACTGCAACCACAAATAGAAAAGAATTAATCAAATGTGTTATTTTTATAGACTGTTTTATGATCATCATAAAATCAACTGTTAATGACGTTCTGGGAAATCATTTAAAACGACAATAAAAACCAATGTGATCCTAAATGATGAAAAAGAGGTCTTTAAGAACAGGCAATGGCTTCTGCCTCATTGAAATGTCTATAGATTATAAGTAATTCAGTTTGAAATGAGTTGTCTTACCAGACACCAGTATTGTACAAATTGTCTTATGCCTTTGTGTTATAGAGATGTGGTGTGACGTGAGGAAAGGTTTGTGTGTGATACATATATGTGATGTCATTATTCATCTGTTTGTCTAGGTACTCTGTAAGGTTTACATAGCGATATTCTGGATGAAAATCATCTAATGCATACATGCATGTATTTGTGTTATAAAACCTTTTTCATTAAATATTGAACTTTTTTTTAACATGAGTTATCTGAAAACATCATTCTAGATAAATTCTGGTTTTGAGATATGCTGATCAAAACCATTTAGGTAAAAGCTATCATTTCTGATACTCTCTACAATTTTAAGCTTGATTCTGCTGGTCTCCCAACCACATCTAGAAACAATGTTACTTCCTAAAATCCACTTCAAAATAATAATATTTAACCTGCTCTCAGTCATATCCTTGTATAGTAACATATAAAAGATCATGGCTAATTTTCCCTGAATACCTGTATAATTATGATATTTTGATAAATTTCTGTTTCTGACTGTTGCTTTCTTGCAGTTGTGATAATATCACTGTGTGATCTAGCTAAAAAGCCTGCCACCTAACTCCAACAGTTAACCACACATGTTCCAGCTCATTCCCTTTGACAGTCAAAGTCTGGGTGACAGGGTCCCCTCCAGTGCCCCCTTCCACAGTAGAGCCAGGCGGTGTACAGCGTGGGAACACAGTAATCGGAGCCCCAGCCCCTCCATTCCTACTCCATACCGCCTAGTGCATCTCACTTTCTTACACTGCTGGAGGTTAATGTGTTGAGCACCTTATTCTATAGGTCTACATGCTGTATGATGTTAGCTTGGCACCCAAAGTAAGGTTATACCAAAAACACAATTACATTTGCAGTCAAACAAATCTCTAAAACCTCTCAAACGAAAATTTTACCAATTATATTAACAGGAGCCAAAGTCTGCCAGTGTTACAACTTTTGATATTAGTGTTAGAAAAACATAGCCCCAACTTAGTTTTAATGGCTGTCCAACAGTGCACAGGCATAGGGTCATTGCTTATCAAAGTGACCATTGACATCTATTTTAAAAGTATGGATTAAATATGCCCCCTACTCCTTTACTATCCTTAATCTGTTTTACTAGAGATGTACTGTTTTATACTAAATTCATCAATGTTAGTAGACAAAGTAATCCCATTAAATCCTCTTTTCCATCCTAGTCCTGTTCCAGATGTAACACAGAGGTTTAAGCCTGGTACATCCCCCACTACACTGGCCAGGCACTGTTTCACCTGCTATTTCTCGGCCATTGACACCTCCCCTCCTGTTTCAGTAGCAATACAGATAAATCTGACTATTTTGTGATGATCCCTTATTTACGCTTCTAAAGGCGCCATCCTGAAAAAAGATTTTAAACTATTTCCTTGGTCAAAAGATTTAGGCCTGAGCACCTCCTCCTGTCAATGCTACCTAGTCTGACCATAAAGCTTTATCTAATAATTATTCAAAGAAAATGACCTTTATCCAATCAGCTGATACTCATCTTCTATAAAACTAAAACCAAAATCAAGCCTTTTCTAGGTAACCACACTTGCAAACTCACCATGGAAACCTTGAAAAGAGACTCAAATCTTCAGTTTACCCATTGACATGGTCATTTAGTGATTACTACTACTAAAGGCATGACTTGGTGATCATGTCCCGTATATCCATTTATGTCCTTGTGTAGTACATAAACCTTTATGTACCAATGTCCTATCTGTGTCCTAGTGTATCACACACAGTCCTATGTACCAATGTCCTATCTGTGCCCTAGTGTATCACACACAGTCCTATGTACCAATGTCCTATCTGTGTCCTAGTGTATCACACACAGCAGTCCTATGTACCAATGTCCTATCTGTGTCCTAGTGTATCACACACAGTCCTATGTACCAATAACCTATCTGTGTCCTAGTGTATCACACACAGCAGTCCTATGTACCAATGTCCTATCTGTGTCCTAGTGTATCACACACAGTCCTATGTACCAATATCCTATCTGTGTCCTAGTGTATAATACAAACTTCTAAGCCCTACGTGAATCTATTCAGCAGCCATTGTCTCACACCTTCTAGATCTGTGTCCTATTTTATAAGGTATAATACTTTATCCAGCATGTTCCCATTAAAACCATTAAATATCAATATCACAGCATTAAACATAAAACATTAATGTTCCAGCAGTACCCTATAAAATGGATTAGTGTGCCACAGAAATTTTGAAAGCATTCATTTTGGTTGCATGTATAGGTTATCTCCCTTTACACTTTCATTACTGTTTAAATCCAAGACTTACAATGCAAACAGATTATAGGCTGAAATGAAAGCAATATCTTAGGTCCTTATTGGTATTATTAACATTCAAGGATGAAAATAGCAAATATCAAATTATATGGCATCAACCATGCACAGACAATATGGTATCAACCATGCACAGACAATATGGTATCAACCATGTACAGACAATATGGTATCAACCATGTACAGACAATATGGTATCAACCATGTACAGACAATATGGTATCAACCATGCACAGACAATATGGTATCAACCATGCACAGACAATATGGTATCAACCATGTACAGACAATATGGTATCAACCATGTACAGACAATATGGTATCAACCATGTACAGACAATATGGTATCAACCATGTACAGACAATATGGTATCAACCATATACAGACAATATGGGATCAATTATAGGACATGTCTATTCATCCAAAGACTTTGTGTCCATTTATACATGTAAAAAGACTACAACCCTGTCTATCTAGCTACTTATCCAAAGACTGATGATGCCCTCCCACAGAGAGTTATCTCCTTATGATTATTTTTCTTACCACCAGGGGGACACCACTTAAAAAAATAATTTGAAATTTACTATATTTTGAATAGCTTACAATGAAAAGAGAAACAAGCCCTTGGCCCTGACTGTGGCAGTAGTCCACACATGTGCTAACTCTACCTCCACAGATCTTATCTGGCAGACCATCCTTCTTTCAGAAGCATATCAGGATCAATTTAGCTTTCTGATAGTATGTGTAACATGAGACCTCTTGAAAAATAAAACCTCCTCATTTAAAAAACCTGTATCACCAGACAGACTACAGGTCTTGTATGAAGAACACATTAATGCATACATGAATGTGATTTCAATGTACTCGCAGTATTATGAAATACCATGGCATACCATGGATTTTGGAAGGCAACATTTTTTAATAAAGAAAAGAACATTTTTTCTGAAGACCTATTCAATCTTTGAAAGCCACTGTGTAATTTCAGTAATTTTGCTATCACTTCATGAGACAAATATGTCTCACATTCTCATCCCTTAACTTGCTAAACACTACAATAATGGATAAAATTTGCCAAAAATCACCCTAATTTGGCTACATGAATCTGAAATTACACCAAAATGTCTAAGTTTTACCTCCTAAAAAACCTAAGCATCTGGTGTTAAAAAGATTCGTGATGACGATGTTGACAGCTGTACATATGTTTTCTGCTAGGGTTGGAGGTCAAAGGTCAGAGGTAGTTCCCTTGTCACAGCTGTACATATCTTTTCTGCCAGGATCAGAGGTTAAGGGTCAAAGGTAGCTCCCCAGTCTCAGCAGCAGGGTGGTGAAGACAAATGAATTTCATCTGTACCACTATATGCTGGGTTTAACACTACCTCACAGACCCGCATGTGTTCCATCTCACAAATTGGTCCAAGAATTACCTCATAAACGTTGTTCTTCCCCATGATGCAGGCAATTCCTTTACAAATTATACCTCCTGATGAAACCTGCAGTCCATACTTACTTTGCACCACTGGGAAACAAATGTGCTGAATATATGGCAAGCCATTTCTCAACCAACATAAATAGTTATAAAGCCATCAACTGAAGAACTTTTGCCAAGAAAGTTGAAGTCTTTAAAAGGTCATGACTTATTTGTACTTATACTGTGAAAGTGGACTTTGAATTATTTTCATATATAACAATGCAGGTGGTGGGTCAGTCACATCACTGTCAAGTGGATTAACTCTACATATAGCTGATGTATCTGGTGAAGATGTACAGGTGCCAAGAACATGTGTTCTATTGTTAACATTGACATACACAACAACCTTTCTGCGTATTTATACTGTTATGCTATACACAACAACTTTTCAGAATATTTTGTACTGTTGAGAAATAAACAGGATTTTTTTTGTATATCTACTATAATACTTATAGGTTGATGTTATTGGAGGCGGACCATAGCTAACCCAATTCAAGTTCATTTGAAGGAAAATTGTTGTCAAATTATCTATAGCTGCCCATTTTATTTATGTTTTTATGCTAAATTCAAAGTGACACAAGTGTTTCTAGAGGCCACTGACATGGGTAGGAGGTCAACATACTTCACTGTGGAGTGACACACAGGTGACAAATCTGTCTATCCTCTTTGTCTTATTAATTATCATTCCCTGGTTTTATGACAACTTCATGAGGATAATTTGACCAAGACTGCATGCATTTCCTTGGACATGAGCCAGATTTCAGCAGCAGGAATGATCAATAGGATTCCTTGAAGGGGACCAGAAACTGTACAGGTCTGACAACCATGTCACCCTGAAGCAGTGATTTCTAGAGGATCTACTATCTGTGACATTTACATGTGATTATTATCCTAGAATAGCCTTCAACTCACTCATGTTTAGTCATATGTAAAGGAAACTAGGAATTAAATGATGAATTCTAGATCTGATTTTATG